GAGCTGAATAACTTTACATGCATTTCAAAATTCAAAATATACTAATAGGGGACTCGCTTGGAAGTATGTCCACACTAACAAAGTGATATGAATGTTTGGACTCAACAATGCCATACTATAGTTATATACCTAAGTGCTTGTCATTAATATAGGTGTAAAACTATCAACTCATTGGCTATGGAAAGAAGAATCTAGATTAAAAAACACATATACATTGAAGAGGAATAGGTATAAATTAGTTACTTACTTACGTGTAACCATTGCATTGCAATGCACTACAACATAATCACTGTAGCAACCACTAAACTTAGGCCAAGAAACAAAAACCCAATAATAAAAGGTTTATACTATTAATTTGTAGTGTAACAAATCACTACAACGCTAAAAACCATCATGTTTAATACCCCAAGCACCCAAACGAATGTTTTACTTCCGCACTCCAATCAATTACACTTGCCATTTAGGGCATCATATTGCAAATAAACTATGAGAAATGAGAGGCAAGATTGATTCATTTAAGCACAGTGCATATATTAGAGCGTGCTACACTTCCAAGCTGCAAGAAATGAGCTACAACAGCAAAAAATAACCTATAGCCATGAGAAATGAGCCACAGCCATGAAAAGTGAATTATAATTGTGAGAAATGAAAAGAGAGATAATGATCACAATTAATACATCACAAATCTGTGCTCATAAAAATGAAACAAAAAAACCATTGCCATGCACCACACTTCCCTCCAAAAGTGTTCGATTAGCTATAAGCACATTATCATTGATATGTATAAAAAGGCATAATTTTCACTTAGTTGTGAACTGGGGAACCACATAAAAATAATATATTGTGGCCTTCCCACATATTCATCATCTTCATCTTTATTTCATTAAACTCCCCTACCCAATCATCGCATATGTATTTAAGCCACAACTCCACCACTCATAGATGAAGTTTGATGTCCTCATCAAACAATAAACCATTTTATAAAGTAACACTAGCATGTATTACCCTTTTCATCCTTAGCACCAAGCCAATATTTGTTAATAGTTTGATACCGAAGGCTCACCATTCCTTTCCTATCCTTTAAGGAGTATAGTCTCTTCAACTTAAAAACTCATTAGGCCACTTATGGTGGTCCTTCCCCATTTCTTTGTTTAGTTTATGTTAAACTTGTTAGAGACACTTTCTCTATTTCAATTTGACTATTCATTCAGGAGTAACCTCAGCCTCTACTAACATAATCATCACATTTTGGAATTTTTAATTTTGACTTCTCCAAGTCAATTTCCTATTGTCCTGCCACTAACTTATACTTAAAGTGTGCTACAAATCACAACTTAGGAATTTAATTCCTTTGAACTATCGAGTCCTTTCACTTGACAAGCCTGTAATCATGCATGGACTCCTCCATGCTTGGCCCCATAGGCAATCTCTTTTTGAAATTAACATCTTTAACTAGAGTCTTTGTTCCCTTGACTTGCCAATCTCACTTAGTAAGTCACTCGATTAGTGTAACATGGTTTCATACATAAGTGTGAAAGTCTTTAACCATTGACTTTCATTCAAAGCCATCTCTTTGAACACTTAGGGACTACTTCCCCAACTTTAATAACTTTGCTTTATGGCAAGTTTTAAGACCATGTTTTTGTTGTGCCACTCTAATTTTGTGCATTCCTTTGAATCATTTACACTTGTCTTTCTAGATATTAACCTACTTAGAATTGTCTTTAGGAACCTTGAAGGGATTTTGTCCTTAGCTTGCTAAAGCCTCTCCTTTTGCAAGCTTTCTAATTAGCATATAGTCTAACATGGATAATTCCATACTTTAGACTCTCTATAGCATCATAGTTGCTAATAGTAATATGTTTGAACACCCACTTAAGTCTCCATTCTTAACTTACATAATCACCCTTGGTTATACCCTTTGATTCCTATCGTTTGGTTTTATCCCTTTACTATTTGCTTTTATGCCTTATGCCTTCCCTTTAGTTATTCTCCTCTCATCTAGGAGAATAGTTTTATACTTTTTACCATGCCTTAACAAGTATTCTTAAGGATGAACCTATTTAATAACTTAGAGAGTGGTTCTTCAAGTTGGATATGTTTACCGTGTAATCCCACACACTAGGATTAACATTGTTATGCATAGGCCTCTTTATGCCCATTGCTAGCCATGCCAAAATCCTTTTTTAGCTTTGTCCAATTCAGATGGATGGATTTCTCCCATCTCTACAACTTTGGACATTAGATAGCACCTCTTATCAATTATTTACTAGGGACTTAATCCCTTGGGCCTTATCTAATGCCCTCATAATTCCAAACACCACTCCTTGGTGTTTTAGAGTGTTTTAGTGTCCCAATAATGACTATAGCAACATCTTTGCAATAGTTACATACTGATTTTTAGGGCCCAAGATCTTGTCAACTATGGCAATATGGAGATGGAATGTCAGTCATAGAAGCATCACCAACAATTCTTACTTTCGGACAGGAATGAGTTCCTCATGCCGGGGATGGTCCAAAGTTGAGTTGAGCTCATAAGTTGAGCTCAATTCAACACAAGTCAACTCAAGTCAACATAGTCAATAAGAAATATTACAAAGGAGATCTAAATTGAACAAATGAAGGTTCTAGCAAACTTTAAAATATTAAAAATACGTAAATATCTAAGTTAAAAGTTTCTATAAGATTGAATTGTTTAAAAAGGACAAAGTTCATGAGAACCTATCTTTTATAAAACTATATTATTTTATTATGACAACTGTTACAGCTGTCATATTTGATTTGACTACTTAATATTTTGAATACTTTTACAGCTGTAGATACTATTCCTTCATTCAAAAGATTTTTTAGGGTTCTTGAGAAGATGGGAAGCAAGGAAAATACAAGATCTGTGAGTAAGAGTTGTAGTGCAAAGGAATGTGAGAATGTTAATTTTGTTTCACTACCACAATCTCCATATTACACTCTTGGTCTTTATTACCCATTTGGGAATGTGGAGACCACTATCACGATTGATAAAAATGCTCCTGTTACTTCTGAAACAACAGTCCAGAGCAAGAGAAATGAAGAAATGAACAGCACAGCGGAAAGCACCAAGAAATCTACTCCATAAAACTTTCCATGACATTTGTAATTTATATATTAATTCATATTAAAAACTCTATTGCTTGCCTATATCGCAATCCTCTCATATGATAAGACCAAGGTATATTTTGTAGTGAATCCTCATTAAAAGTTTTTGGGAATTGTTTGTAAATAATGATAAAAGAAATCAAAATCTTTCGAAAGACTCAAAAGTAATATCACATCAAAGAATCAACTTTATCTACATTTCCAAGACTAAAAGGCAATCTCACATGAGAGAATGGTAGTGTGCCAGCGTGCTCTACCACTATAATGTAGTCTATATTTCCTTGCAATTTATTTCCCTAGACATTTGGCATGTGTAGAAAACAATATATGTGTAGCAAAGTAGGATTCATCATAATGATAGAGCATGTATATACACAATAATTTAAAATTCTAGAAGCTCTTATGTTTACAAGAAAGCTATGATTATGAAGCCCCAGTTCCAAGACTGACATTTAAAGAATCTGAGTATTTTCAGTGTCATAATAAATAAACCTCATTCCCAAGAATCTGAGTATTGTCAGTGTCATAATAAATAAACCTCATTCCCAAGACTAAAACTTAGTATATAAACTATCTAGAAAAGTTATAGTCATTGTAGGTTTTTTGTTCTCCTTGAGCTCCTTAGAAGTTTATATTGAAATGGCTCAAAGGAGACCTATTGCTAATCGTACTTGGCCCCCAGCATTTCATATCAATCTCCACCTCCATCCCCAAGTTCTACCAACATTCCACCTTCACCTCCACATAACAATCCTTTTTCTGCTGAGGGCTCTAGTGAAGCTAAATTAGAGCTCCCTATATGTGAAATTCCGGATCTTGCTACTAGAGAGGGATTGCCTCCAGCGCTTCAAGAGCAATGCCACATGTTTTTGCAAGATCTTGCTCCTGACATGGTGGGACTACTTGAAAGCACAGAAGGCTATTATATTTGGTGTCCAATATGCTACTTTTTCTTGGACAAGACAAATGGCTCTATGGGTTTACAAACTTTTCTTGAGCACTGTAAGAATTGCCCAACGGCAGGTCTGGAAAATGTGCACGTGTGGATGTACAATAAATTCAAGAATGAGTTATAGACACATACCCACTATCGCTTCATGGTGAGGAACAACATCCCCTTAGGAAACACTGCATTGGCTAGTGCAAAATATGGGGTTTTTAGGCCACCCTATAGTGGAATGTAAGATCTAGAATTACTTTACTATACTATAGTATTGTCACTATTAAAAGAAAAAATATAATAAAATGATATTAGTTGTAGGTAACATACCTTGTTCTAGAAGGTGCTATCATATCACATACAATTGTTTACAAAATGTTGAAGGAGGAGATGGCAACACACAAGCACTATAAAGTGATGGTGACAGGTGAGAATGATAATCTATAATTATGGTATCTGACACTGACACTAACATCTGACAATTTTACTGACATCTGACACTTTCACTGACATCTAACATATAACAAGCTTTCTATTTTATGTAAGGATGCAATTAACTTTCTTCTGCTTCATCATCAACATAATGATTTCTTTTATACTTCCTCCTATATTGGTATTGTGGGGAAGATTCATCTTGCATATGTTGAGCCATGGCTTCTGCATAGTCAGGGAGACTTCCAAAGCCTCCAATTTTAGAAACTCCAGGTGACTATGATCTATAAAATAGAATGAAATATATATTGAAATTTTAATAAACATAATTTACCTCCTTGAGGTTGAAGGCAACTCACGAAATCTTCTGAGCCAGCGTTTGAAGAAATGATGTTCTTCAATAGCAAACACCAACCTACCAGAGTCACGTGCTGCCTCCACCATAGAACCGCTACCTGCTGTGCAATCAATCACAACACCATCTGGTGGGCAATAGAGCTCAAGCAAGACTTGCATTGCCGATGGAGTTCGGAATCGGTACCCTGGAAACGTATTGCAGATCTACTCATCCACAAGGTTGGGTATGATGTTAGTGGAATTGTCATACCCAAGCAAAGCACGTGCTGCACGTTCGCTATCATGAAACCCATCATGTGTATTTCTGCAGAAGGCATGATAGGTCCACATCATAACCTGGAAAATAAAAATGTTTAGAAATTAGATAAAAATATAAAATACATACTCACATTTTCAGGCTTCCCTTAGACGCCCCTCGTATCAACGCCAATAGGATCCATGATGCATCCGGAAGAGAATGACTTGAAATGAACTTCTGCTGTGCACGTCATAAGCTCATACATCCAGTTGGGGTCGTTCGGTAGGATGAAGACGATATGGCCAGCTTCGAGCATAAGTGCTTCGGACAATAGGAATGCATCGCGCAAGTGGTCAGGTGTGAGAAAGTTCCAATCCTCAACTTTCCCATCGATATCTGAAAGACCATCTGGAAAGTCGAAGAGAATGAAGTCCGCAACTGGGAGCACGGGCTTTTGTATCTTTCGGCACCAACGGTTGAACTGGCGGCGTATATCCATGTTGATGTCGTCTTCCGTGAAAGATGTCAATAATCTACTGTAAGAGCCAATGAAGATACCCACAATACCTCGTTGTGTTATTGGGGATACAGGACGGACCTATAAAAGAGCTAAGTGAATGAAAAAAGTAATAAATAGTATGATACCGTCATATGGCGTGTTGTCGATGAGAGTTCCTCCAACTCCTCTTCACGAGCATCTCGTCGAGCTGGAATGAAATTACTACCAACAGTCATTGTTGCAAAAAACATGTATTATCACCTTTAGTTTGTAAATTCACTTTTGCTTACCTCGAGGTCGACGTGATATTTTGTGAACCACTTGATCATCGTTATTTACTAGTAGAACCTGATCTGGATCTTGGTTGTTTGATGGTTGAATTGGAGCCTGTTCCTGACTGTTTGGTGGTGGAACATGAACTTGATCTAGAGCTTCCTCATCCTCGTCTCCATCGTCACTTGCATTGCCATCGTTGCTAGCATTGATAATTTCCTCGCGATCTAGTGTAGAGGTCTCCTTCCCTAGGAGCTCCAACTCCCAAGGGCATTCTATCTTCCGTGCCTTCGGAACTCTCGCAAACATTGTTGGGTACATTCCTCCATCCCTTACACCCTTTGCAACAAGTCGAGTGCAAACTGATGCCTCAAATGGCATGCCTCTATATTGAAGACACTTGTAAACAATATATATATTAAAAAACAGTCTTAGAAATCATATTATACCTATAAGCTGCACGTCGCATGAAATAAGGTTGACCATGTTGGCAATCATAAGTTGTTGTGCTTGTAGACTTCTCTGGCAGCCACTCCTCTTCGATCTCTTCCAATGACGTGTTAATGTAGGTGTCGAAAGACATGAATGTGCCATCTGGATCGTCACCAATGTGTGCTGCCAAGAACTTCTCCCCTTCACTTATAGTTTGCGTGACGTAGACAGCCCTTCTCATCATGTTCTCAAATAGTTCTAGCAGTCCTTTTTCTCTGTTCATCAAGCAGACATTGAGGAACTCTAGAGTCTCTATTTGTTGCTTATATGGAAGCTTTGATTTTGCGATATTGTAAATCATGTCATCTGGAGTTTTGTTCACTGCAAAAGTAACATATGCATAATTAAGAAAAATGAAGTGTGATAAAAAACTTACATTCATGAGAAGAAATTTCGGCTATAGTCTCTAGCCACTCCTTCGGCCTGCGATTGTCTACAATGCATACTAGTTTCTTCAACTTTGAGGACTTTGCATGCTGAATTTTGTGCTCAATTTATACAAACTCAGCTGAGAGCTCTTCCCGACTCTTCTCTGGATATGCAAGTTCGTAAGCATCCTGCTTGACCTTCACCAAAGGCTAAAAACCAAAACAATTAAAAGAGGCTTTTATAAAATAAAAAGGGAAAGACATACCTTACACCACACAATGAGCATAAAACTGATTGGGTTGTTGAACCAAGTTGTACTGTCATTTCGAGTGCGTGAGTGCCGAACAAGTGTTGCGAGATCATCACCATAATGTTGGCGGATGTCATCCTCACTCAAGTCTGCCAAAAATCGAAGTTGCTAGATGTCATGGACAAGATTTTGTTTTTGAATAGCGAACTGCCCAAGCTACATTTAAACATAACAAAACAAATTAAAGTGGAGTTAGAGGTAAAATTATAAAACTTACGCATTGATCTTTTGGCAGGCCAAGATAAGTCTGTTGACATCCAAAGGTCCCCTCGCGTAAACATGGCCGACTGGAATGTTGATATGGTAGATGGGATCATCGCGAAAATGATCGTCGATACACTTCATCCAAGTTCCATATCGGTGGTTACCGTCAATAATTTGGAACATTGTCCCCGCAAGCTGTCGAGTCTCAGGATGTCTGATAAGCATGTCATCAAATTCTAGGGACTTCCTCCTCCAAATAGGATCCCAGCTATTCACAATCTCGGGTGTGATAGTAATGATCTCCGTTGTTCCTAGCTTGCAAAAAGAGACTAGAAACATACCGATATTTGTTGCAAGGCCATTCTGTTTGAACAAGCTGTATATATCCGGGTTGACATACTTGGATGCTGTGCGGACAAGGTTCGTCTGCTGCAAATGGCAAAGGGGGATTTCTCTGATCAAGTCACAAGGGCCTGGCCACTTGAGCGCCTCAAGTGTTTGGTGAACTGCTTTTTCCCTTTTCCGCATAATAGTCTCTTGGAAGCGCTTGTCCACCACGTTGTCAGGAAGGTCTGCAACTCTTTCAGCTCCAGGCTGTTCCTCAGATTCCCTATCGTGAACACCACTAGATTGCCCAACTTCAAGGATTTGCGTTGGTGGTGGTGGTGGTGGCGGCGGGGGCAGAGGCAATAGTGGCAGTGGTGGTGGCAATGGTGGTGGTGGTGGTGGCGATGGAGGTGGTGGAGGTGGTGATGGAGGTGGTGGAGGTGGCGATGGCAGTGGTGGAGGTGGTGATGGTGGAGGTGATGGTGGTGGAGGTGGTGAATCTCTAACTATCTCTGTTGTGCCAATGGACATGTCGATTGTGATGTCACTGTCAGTGCCAAATTGAACTTCTCGTGTCTTCTTGGCTCCAACAACCTTTTTATGTGTTACAATTTTCCTTTTTCTGCAAGAGAAAAAGTTTTGTTAGTCAAACTAAATAAAGATAATGAGAAATTTAAACAATCAAAGAGAAAAAAAAAATCAAGTGGGCCTAGACTCCACCTCAGGCACTTTGGTTGCCCAGGGGGCTGAGGTTATTCAAATAACCTTAGCCGCCTGGGCAGCCAAAGTGCCCGAGGTGGCCGGCTTGAGCTCGAGCTCGGGCAGTTTTGCTCGCCGAGGGGCCGAGGTTATTTGAATAACCTCGGCCCCTCGGCAAGCAAAATTGCCCGAGGTGGCCAACCCAAGTTCGAGCTCAGGCAGTTTTGCTCGCCGAGCGGCCAAGGTTATTCAAATAACCTCGGCCCCTTAGCAAGCAAAACTGCCCGAGGTGGTTGAATAACCTCGGCCCCTTGGCAAGCAAAATTGCCCGAGGTGGCCGGCCCGAGCTTGACCTCGGCCAGCAAAGAAGCAATCAAGAAAAAAAAGGGAAGCAATGGACTCAAAAAATGGAAATGGAAGCAATCAAATCGAAACTCACCCTTGGTGGCATCTTTCCTCCTTTGATTTCTTGATCGTGCTAGATTTCTTGGGCCCTCAATCTCTCCTGCTCGCGCACTCAATCTCTCCTGCTCACGCACTCAATCTCTCCGGAACTCTCCCACTCACGCGCTCAATCTCTCCCACTCGCGCGCTCAATCTCTCCCGCTTGCGCGCTCAATCTCTCGATCTCTTGCACGCTCAATCGCTCGATCTCCTTCGCACTCAATCCCTCGATCTCCTTCACACTCAATCTCTCGATTTCTCGTGCGCTCCACTCACGATGCGAACACTAACCTAATCTTGGCGGCTACCCTAACCCTAATCCTGATGGCTGCCCTAACCCTAACCAATCTCTAATCCGCCGTTCATTCCGAATAACCTAAATCTCAACCATCACAATATCTTTGATCTTATTTTATCTTATCATTATTATTATATGTCAATTATGCTTCTTTATTTTGTATATTTTAATGATGGTATAACTAGCACCTATCAACATTTCTCTTATTAGAGATATAATATTATATTTTACAAATTATCTAGAAAGGATGCATTCTCATCAATATTTTGTACATATTTTGGAATCGTTACAAAAACTTCAAAGAGTATAAATAAGGCACGTTAAAATATGTTGTACTATATCCATCTATGAATGGATGAATCCTCATCCAGAAATTTATTTTGTGTTGTATTAGATCCTAAACAATAGGCACGTGCTTTAAATGTCATTGAGTAGTGTTCACAATTATGGATAAAACTTGAGTTGTACTACGAATCAAATCTGTCATTGAAGAATAAGATTTGACAAGATTTATTATCATCTACCACTTAAAATTTGACAACTTGACATATCACACGTGCTGATAGTTAGATTGGATCTCTTGGTTTGACATGTTATAGCAGAATGTCATTATTGGTATCATTATTAACTATCAAACTTCACGTGCTGAAAATCTTTCCTTGGATCTATGTGTATACATACATTAGACATCATAATAGATGACAGTAATATTAATACTGTCACACTTACACATGTTAAATTTGCTATAGAATTTAAATTCATTTTGTACGTTATCTTCTTATTACTCTATTTAAATTTCAATTATGTTTCACTATAGATTTTTACAAGTAGCATAAAGAGAGAGAACTCCAAAACCTATTGAGAAGGATGGAGAGGTTTCTTCTTCATTTTCGAGATCACCCACCTCTTTCATTCTCTTAGAGTATTGTTTCTGAAAGTTTTTGTGAGACACAAAATCCCTAGGCCCCAAAGTGGAGCTGGAAGGGCACCACATGGTAGTGGCCGAAGCGAGAGCCAAACGAGCGTAACACGTTTGGACCAAAAGCTCCGACTTGAAAAGTCAAGAGCGGGAGTGGAACTCCCAACGAAGTGCTCGAGGAATGAGCACGAAGCGAGCAAAAGGCGAGGCTCCA